AGAAAGAAAGAAAGAAAGAAAGAAAGAAAGAAAGAAAGAAAGAAAGAAAGAAAGAAAGAAAGAAAGAAAGTTAAGATGATTGAGCTCAAGAATTATTTCTGGGCACCAGTTTTGAGAAAGCTTCAGAGAAACTGGAACCGGTTCTGTGACAAACAATGAGGATGATCAGAAGACCACCTTAGGGTCTTCTAGCATCATCACAACCACTATTGTGCAGACATAAAAAGTCAGACTTTATACTGCTTCAGTGACAGTTGGGTGATGCTATGAAGATGTTTTAAGTCAATAGTGGGGAAATGATCTAAAGAACTGGGTATGCTTAACCTTGGAAAAAGGAGACAGAAAAGGGAACTGATGTCTGAAAAGTTGTCATACAAAATAAGGCTGGGCTCTGTTGTCTGTTGTTACACACAAACGCAAAGTTTAGGTTCCTGTAGTAAGGAGGATATAAGAGCCCAAATAGCCCTTCCAACTCCACGATTCATCTTCTGGAATATTTAACATACTGATTTTATGAAGCCACCATCACATCTTTAAAACTTACAAAAATGGACTGACATTTTTATCTCCCTCATCCGCTCTGGTGGGATTATTTTTTTCATCATCATGTCTTCTGCAAAGGCTGAGGATAAAAATGATGAAGTCGATGATGTGCCAGTTTTAAAAAGTTACCTGTCCCTCCCGAGAGCAAATCTCTCGATGACAAGAGGAGTTGGGTATCCTTTGCCAAAGCTGTACAATTAAGGCTGATAAGTTTCCCACTGCTGAGCAGAAATAACGATCTTGCTCCAATGTGATCTCTGAGAATTTCAATACAGACTGGCCTAACCCTCATCTGATAAATGAATGTAGCATTTAACATTTAATTCTCTGCCAGATTCCTCGTATTCTGAAAGCCTATATGCAATCTTAGCTCAAAAATATAGTTTAAGTGGGCATCTTTGGAGAGCAAACACGTTTGGAAGTGTGTCTTTTGAGAAGAAACATGCTTAAAAAACGTATGCTTAAAAATAAATGGGCTTTTTGAAGCAGCTTTTAATCTGCAGAGTATTGCAAAAGTGGGACAGAATATATTTATACAAGGATATAAGTGAAAAGTGATACAACCCCGTAACAGAGACATTTCTATCCATCAGTGGAAACCCCACATAGAAAAGGAATATATAGTAGGACCTGTTTATTGTGGGGTGTGACCTTAGGAATTCCTGTGCTTTGCAAATCTTTGTCAGGTTCTGTATCCCTTGTATTTTGGTGGTGTAGTTGGTGAAACAAATTTAAGAGAAATATGGATAATCCCAGCTCTGCCAATATTAATTGTGACTGACCACTCACCACTTTGCATCACTTCTTACCCATGGTAGCCCAGGGCTGAGAAAAGATGGTCCAACCTTAATATACTGAATTTTAGAACACTCAGTGACTTAGCCCTCTCTTCTCCTGCTGTTCCTCCTATCCAAATTACCCTCTCCAAATTTATTTTCTTCTGGAAAGAGGAAAAAAATCTTCTGGAAAGAGGAAAAAGGGAGAACGATACAGCTAGGGCACTTAGAGTGGCAGAAAAAGGGAGATTTAACTGCTGTTCCCTTTCAGATTTTTCTTTTTTGACAGTAGCCTACAAGGCTGTTTTTCGGTTTAAAAAAAAGCTTGAAAGAAAAGAATAAATTTAAGATTGCTTTTGCATCACACCAACTTTGTTTTTCATTAACCAACGAGCAATGCATTATTTTGACGTAGGTACCAGAGTTTTCTCAAGGGGCAGAGCTGATATTTTCATCTTTAGTGATCATTGTTGGAAATTTGCTAGCTTGGATTCAATATGTATTTGCAGTTTGTGTACTGTAGGCAGAAAAAGACCTGATGGCTATCAAGGTTAAATGATGTTTTTCAACCTTTTCTGTCAAGACGAGAGTGGGACATTTCTGAGTTGCTTAGGGGAGGCCGGGGTGTACTGTAATGAATGTGATGAACATGGACAGTGAACATTTGATGTTCAGGAAAAATGGAACATCTTTTTATGTTCTTTTTATTTGTGTGATTTTAGCATTTATTCTGCTGCTTAAGTTTCAGAATTTTTATGGGTATGTGTGTTACCAGGAATGTAGCATGGATCTTGCTGGGTCCTTATGGAAGATCCATATGTGTTTCAGCAAATACGGTCTCCTCCGTTTTGGCAAACCAGTTCCTAGGACAACTGCAGAGCCTGACTTTGGATGCATCCGTGTAGGAGTTAGGCTTCACTCCCGCATTCCTAGGCCATTGTCTGCTTGAGCGATTGAGCCAGCTGCAAAATGTCTGGTTTGTAATGTGTCCCCTTGCGGTTCCTTGGTTTTATGGGTGAGCTGTTTTCCAGCTGGAGGAACTCTCGCCTTGCCCTCCCTTCTTAGCTTGGATCTCTTGAGTGGATCTGTAAAATCTTAATTCTTCTGGTCAGTTTCTAGTCAGTTTTATAACAAAAAACCGACCAGCATGATTTTCCCTGGATGGGTATTAAACAGTGAGCAACCTGCTTTTGCTTCAGCCCGCTTCCCAGCCTCTGGGATCAGATGAGTTATGGGGTCTCTACACTGTGGCGGACAACCATGGTTGAGAAAAGAACCAAGGCGCAAAACCCACATCACCCCAGCTTGCAGTGGGAATGTGTACAGAGAAAGAATTATCTATTGACAGCCAGGCAGTTTTCTGATTACAGTAATAACCTTCCGGGTGGGTTTTTTGGTTTTTTATTTTGCAAAATGGCCAGAGAACTGCACCCAACGTATACTGAAAATATCAGTGCAGCATTTATTTATTTTTCTTCTTTCTGCGTGGATCTGAAGCTCGGTCGTTGATGGGTGATGACAACAGGGCCTAACCTTTCCCTTGACTGCTTAACACGCTTGCTGGCCTGCTGGGCAACGGCAGAGGGCTGAATCCAGGCGTTCTTGGCAAGGTGTTCCTGAGAAGATGGCAGAAAGCAGCATTTTTTTTAATGGTTAACAGAAAGACGATTTGGATGAGTGTAGACTGCAAGTAGGATTTTATCACTAGAGAGCCAGAATGGTGTATTGGTGAAAGTGCCGGACTAGGAGTGAGGAGACTAGCATGGAAGTTCCCTGGGGGATTCTGGGTCAGTTCCTCTCAGCCCAAAGTGTGGGGTTGAGGTGCTTGACTTGGGGTGGGGAGATCCAGCTTAGGTATAGAAGCTAGCTGGATGATTTAGGGCCAGTTCCTAGCCCTAACTGACTTCAGGCCCTACAACAAGCCGGCTGAAAAACAAAACCCCTCATTTGCTCATGCATTGATAAGCTTTGCTGTAAGAACTAGGTGACTGCAGTCCAAAACAAGTGGACCTTGCAACTAAGTGGGACAAATGCCAAGAACATCAACGATTGGATTTATTACTAGCATTTCTCCATTCCAACTGGTTCTGAGTAGCATACAAGATAAATAAACAAAAACCATGATGGCTAACCGCAATGTCACAATAGTGGCCCCCTCCACCAGAAGCAGGCTTAAACAACCTTCCCCAAATGCTCTATCCCAAAGCTATGTTTTCACATCTCTGCAGAAACTCCTCAAGGAAGTGGCAGTTTGTATGTTTGAGGACAAGCGATTCCACATAAGAAGTGCTGCTACTGAGAAGACACAACAAGAGCTCCTTGGGATGGGACCTCATCAGGCCTTCCCTCCCTGATCTCACTGGGTGGGCAGATTCATCTGGCAGCAGGCAGTCTCAGATATCCAGGCCTTGAGCCATGGAGGGCTTTAAAGGTAATAACCAGCCCTTTGAATTGCACCTGAAAGTTGACTGGCAGCTCCCAGAATAGAGGAGTTACCTGGGCAAATGTAGGTGTACCTGAAAGTACCCCAGCAGCTGCATGCTGAACCAGTTTAAGGATTTTGTGGTTTGGTCTTGGTTATCCTGACCTGTGGGCTCACCTGTCCTCTTGGAAATGCCTCCTCAGTCTAATGGGAATACAATCTTACCCCCAGATATCTGGACCATCCCTTCTGTTATGTTTCTGAAGAACATGAAGATGTGGCTCTCAAAGGGTGGTATATCAGATGGATTGTAGTTTGTTACTAATGGGCCTTATTGTAAGTTGTAATCCTATTTGTAAGCCGCTCAGAGTCTTCAGAAACAGAGCTTCATAGAAGCCAAAGTAGATGAATCAATAAATACCTCTAGAGCAATGTTTCTCAACTTGGCCACTTTAAGATGTGTGGACTTGAACTCCCAGAATTCTGGGAGTGGAGTTGAAGTCCACACATCTTAAAGTGGCCAAGGTTGAGAAACACTGCTCTAGAAATACTTTGGAATTTGTACATAAAATCAGGGGTGAACAGTGCGAAGCCTCAGTGCTGATATTTAGCATTTGCCTGTATTTCTGCAACCCAGGTCTGACAACCATTCCAATGACTTACACACCTAGGTGACTGCATCAGACAAATTGTAGTACATGCCTAAAATCAACAGAACACAATTTGGAATCAATAATCCTTCCCCAAATCAGGAAAAATAATTAAAGAACCCTGATGCTCCTCTTGTTGCATCTTCATCCTGTCCACTGCAGGTCTCCTACCTCCCTGGACCCCTTGAGTGCAGCTCTTGATCATGAAAGAGTTCTCCATCCCTGCAGTAAAGGTGAATCTCATTTCTCCATCCCTGCAGAAAA